AATTAAAAAATCAAATTAAAGTATATAAGGGAAAATTAGTTTGTATTTGGGATGGTTGAGGATGTTTTAGATTATGTGCATATTTTTAAGTTGAGCATTATCAATGTGTGATTTGTCAGTGTAGCTGAACAGTACGTCTTAGTCATTCTAACCACAGCTAAATGTGTTTTACATACATTAACTTTTTTTTTTTATTTTTTACTTATTTATTTTCGAGACAGGGTTTCTCTGTAGCTTTTGGTACCTGTCCTGGAACTAGCTCTTGTAGAATAGGCTGGCCTGAAACTCACAGAGATTTGCCTGCCTCTGCCTCCTGAGTGCTGGGATTAAAGGCGTGCACTATCACCACCTGGCCATTAACTTAATTAGAATTGTGCTTTAGTAGATGAGTGTAAACAAAGGGATTATTGTATTGAGAGACGCAATGTAATTTGTTAGTTACCTCTTTTTTTATTACTAGAATTCTCGTCAGACAAAAATACAGTTTAAAAACAATGATTTGAGCCCTCTTCTATGACTAAAATGTTAGTCATTTAGAGTTGCTATTAAATACATCTTATACTTTAACCTAGCATATGCTAGGAGACAGTGTGTGAAAAATGGCGCTAATTAAACAGTATGTTTATATTCCACGCAATAATTAATGCAGCTCACCTTAATCTGCTGTTTCCCCTCCCCCTATTATCATTTTAAACCTTGATTCATTCTTTTCCCCTTATCCAACATTGCCAGCTTTCTGAAAGCTCATTGCTTAAATACCTCACCTGTGTTGGGTGAATTATGGTAACTACCTTGGTGCTGTGTCTTTTAATCTTTTTATTGTCCCTCACCAGGCCACTAAATCTTTAAAGTACTATCTCTAAAGTACTGTCTCTAAAGTACTATCTTACTCCCTTAGTAAATCATTTGAAGAAATTGTCAATTATTTTTGCATCCCAGAACAAGCAATATCACAACTTACAGTAAAAAAAATCATTTTTCAAAGATTCACTCAGTTAATTATTTATATGATAACAACACACACACATACATGTATATATATATATTAAATATAGAAATCTGTTAAACAGAAGTAAATTATGATTGGGAATCTAGGACAAACACCTTAATACAATATTGTATAACTTTGCTTTCTTTGTGACTTTTAGCTTTTGTTGTTAATTGTTTGTAATTTGAATATTTAGTAATTTTAGGAAGGCACAGAAATTCTCAAATGATGCAAATATATAGTCCACTGAGGAAAAACAAATGCTACTTTATCAAATTACAAGTTAATCCTTAATTAAATTAGTTAAAGTCACTACCTGATTATACTTTAAAAAAATCTTTGGCATGCTGACCAGATTTAATTGATTTAACACCAGTAGAAACTTAAATCTAACATTAGTTATTGTTAATTGCTGTAAAAAGATATATCTTTGCTTTTCATTTACATTAATAAACTTTCTTCTGTATTTCATATAAATTAATTGCATTTCTTTTAAGTGTAACAACAACAGGAAACAACAACTTCCAACTAGACTTGTAGAATATTCTATTGATGTATACAAAGTAGCCAGCTTTTTAATTGAAATCTTTAAGTCAGAACAGGATGTAAAAGCAAGAATTCAGAAAGACAGACTCTTGGAGACATACATCTACCTCAATGTAAAGAAAGAGCCATCTGTTACCAAATCAATATTAGTATACCAGATAGTCACCTGTTATGATAACAATCTCATGTACCAGAGTGTGCCAATCCTCATACCAACATTGGTGTACCAGACAGTGACATCTTTTATCACGCAAATATTGGTGTACCAGAAAGCCATCTATGATTATACAAATCTCAAGTACGAGAGTGCTAACTCTTTTGCAAACATTGGTAGCAGATAGTCACCTTATATCACACCAACCTTTGTATAATAGGTAGTGGTGCCACTAATTATGAAAACATTGGTACAGATAGTGCCACCAGTTATACCAACATGTATACCAGATAGTGACATCACCTGTTATCACAACTTAGCCAAGGGAAAATACAATATTTCTAAGAGCTGCCTCAGTTTTACTAAAAAGTGAAATAATCACTCTTTTATAAGCTCTCACTTAATAAATAAGCACATTCTTGATAACTCTTATTTGCTTACACACTAATATAAAGATATTGACTTATTTCTACATTCAAACCACTCATTATTTTATAAATGTATGCAATGTAAATTTAGATATTTTTGACTTCAGTGTACTACATTTGTTAAGAGAAAAATTTCAGCAAGATAAATTAACTATTTGTCTGAGTGGTGGGTATTATTTAGTTATCTTTTCTTGGGAAGATAGGGATAAATGCCTGTTTACACAAGATTAGGCAGCAAAGAGTAATCACAGTAATAACTTAGCTAAAGTCCTATTTGGTGAGCCACAGAGTTTATAAACATGGTTGAGAATTTACTTACAGTATGATAAGTGTGTGTTAAACAATTGATTCAGTTTATCCGCTGTGACTCTTTGAAGCTGCTTTGAGCAGTCTGCTTTATTTGCCCTTCCTCTTTCTATCTATTGTTCTATTGCAGACACTGCAGCTGCCTTCTTTCGCTCTTTGAAATCAGCCCTTGTCCTGTCCCTGATAGTCTGCCAAACAACCCACAGACCTCTGCTGTGAAGTTAGGACACAATAGGAAAAGCAAGCCTAGTCTTCTAGTCCATGAAGACAAGTTTGCCATTCATGTGCCTTGACATGTAGACTAGGCCAGACTAAATCATCTGGTGTATACTTTCTGACATTCCATGAAATGTATCAAAGTAAAAAGTTTTCATAGTTTCTGGGAACAGAAGAGCCAGTTCAGTTCTTTTCAAACTTCTGTCATAATACAGGGTGACTATCCTAATGCAATGAGAGCAGGGTTCTCTCTCTCTCCTTCTCTCCCTCCCACTTTTCTTCCCTCCCCTCCCTCCCTCCTTCCCTCCCCTCCCCTCAGAATTCTGACACTTGTCTGCTGTCATATCACTTCTATGTCCTCTTCATGCCCTCTCACTTTAAGCCCCAACCACGTTAGCCTCTCTAACCTCATCATAAGGCTCACAGCCCTAACAACAATCACTCTACAGGGTAATTTCATATCAAATCCATTTTCTTTCTAGTGACCATGACCTGTATGGCTCCTTCACTTTCTGGTCACCCACACCCAAATAATCACACAGAAATTATATTAATTACAACACTGCTTGGCGAATAGCTTTGGCATATTTCTAGGTAACTCTTATATCTTAAATTTACCAATTTCTATTAATTTATTACACCATGAGGCTGTGACCTACTGGTATGATTCTGGCTGGTGACTGGTAGCGTTCTGTTCAGCAGCTACATGGCATCTCCCTGATTCCACCTGCTTTCTCTCTATGTCTCTGTTTGGATCTCCTACCTGTCTTTACTCTGCTAAGCCATTGGCTGAAATAATTTCTTTAATAACTGATGGTGATAAAATATATTCATAGCATGCAGAGGGGAATCACACATTAATATAGCATGCAAACTTGCATCTTCCAATATCCCTTGCATATGGAAGAGGAGGGTGGAGTAGTTGCTGGAATCCTGCTTCCCCCTCTCCTACTGCCAATAGCTAAGCTACCATTTCTCTGTACTGTTCTGCTCAATTTGTTGCCATGACTACTGAGCAAGGTAGTCTTTAGTACAAGATGGTGCTAGAATGATCATGCTATCCCCAGAGAAAGAAAGCCCTCACTACTACATGATGTATGAGCTCTGTATCACTCAGAACCAGTAAAGGCTAAGCATTCTATTGCAATGAGGTCAGAAGGGTTTCTGACCCAGCAGAAACAAATTAGAGAAATTACTGTATTGACAACCAATAAACGACTATGGTATTTGGGCATGTTGTAATGAGATGCTATTCAGTTTGGACAAGGATATGATCTGGGATTGACTGAACTCTGGCTGCTCCCATTTAACTGCCACTCAACTACTTTTTAAAGCTGTGTACCCCCAAATTTTGGTTTAGCATATTTATGTTCCAAGTTAGATTTCTGTTTGTTACTCTGCTATTGGTATGTTTTTGTATAATTTTAAATTACCTGATTTAAATTTGGCCAGAATCAATATATGAAAATTAAAGCAATATATGAACTTGATTTATAATAACAGACTAATTTTTAAACTTTTATTCAACTGTATGTATGTCTTATGGCAGTTCGTTTTGAAGGGCCAATAATAATAGCTAACAAATAAAGCTTCATACTTGTAAAATTCTTTAGTATTAGTCAAGATACCCTTTGAACTCTGCTCACAAATTTTTTGGAATTATCATAATGGTGTTAAGTATATTTAATCAGACTCAAAAAAAACCTTCCAAACTTACAGTAGCATAGACAGAGCTGGATAACCACGGAAGGCCATAAAACAAAAACCGACATAAACATGAGAAAGAGATTTGTAGGGAGCCTGGGTGATAAGAAGAGGCATGGAGGGAATGGTCAGAGTAGTCAATATGCATTGCATAACATCTTCAAAAATGTTAAAATTATACATAACAACAATAATAGTGAGTCTTCAAATCCCAATGTACTCTGAAAAGAGAGGACAAATCTAGAGGAGACTAACCAGAGAAGAATCTGGCAGCATTTGGAATAGTTGCTCACTGAGTTTTGTTATAAGTTAGTTAATTGTGTCATGGTACTCTGGATTTTTGGATTTCTTTTTTTTTTTTTTTTTGTCGTTGTTGTTTGGTTGGTTGTTTTTTGTTCTTTTGTTTATCAAGACGGGATTTCTCTGGAGCTTTGGAGCCTGTCCTGGAACTAGCTCTTTAGACCAGGCTGGCCTCAAATTCACAGAGATCCACCTGCCTCTGTCTTCCAAGGGCTGGGAATAAGGCGTGTGCCACCGTGGCCTGGCCAATACTCTGGATTTCTTTGATAGATTTTAGAAATTGTTCAATTGATATTTTGAAATGAAATGGTTATGTCAACAAGAGAACCCCATCATTTGTTTTCTTTCTCATTTCCAGAATTTCTAATTCAGGATGGCCCTTTTGGATCCTGTGAAAATAAGTTCTGTGGCTTGGGGAGGCACTGTGTGGTCAGCAGAGAGACGAGGCATGCGGAGTGTGCCTGCATGCAAGCTTGTAAACAGCACTACAAACCCGTCTGTGGGTCCGATGGGGAATTCTATGAAAACCACTGTGAAGTGCACAGAGCTGCCTGCCTGAAGAAGCAGAAGATCACCATCGTTCATAATGAAGACTGCTTCTTTCAAGGTAAGAGCAGGGAGGCCCACTGTGTCATAGCCCTCTATCTTTCCTATTATCTGTTAGTGCCATTAAGATTTAATTTAGGCGTGATTTTATCTCTGTAGGTGTCTAAAAAAGGAAAAGGATCAAGTAAGCTTAACATAACCAAGGAGCAGCAGTGTACGGAAATTTGCATGCGTATAATTCTGATATTCATTTATGAGCATAAACCTGGCCAAAATCTGACTCACAATTTAATATAGCATTCAGCATTGCACCATATGGCTTCCCAATCATGAAGTTATTATAGGGACAGAGAGTAGCCAGTTTAGTCTGCAGGCAAAAATCTCCCCAGTGTAAAACACCTAGAAGGCTGTCGAAGGCGCAGGGAATGCCAAGCCATGCTGTGGCAGCTTCTCATTGCTTCTTGATCTACAGAATAGTTTCAGTTTGCAGTACACAACTCAAATTATATGGAACCACTAATTACCCACTTCAGTAACAATAAAGTCATAAGAAACTCAATTAGCAAATCTGAAGCCACGATGGTTTAACATTTTAAAGTGTTAGTGTTTGCACTCGCACAATTTAAGGGATGGCTTAGGGAATAGTACTTCTGAATTAGTAATTGAATTTGCCATTTTAACATGTTCTATAGATAAATCATCAGAACACATCACTTATTTATACCTTGATTTATTGCTTGGTTATTTAAGTTGGAGGAAATATTTCCTTTTTAGTGTTATGACTCTTATTTAAATTCTAGAGTCTAGTATAGAACATCCATCTTCTAACAGGTCACGGATTAAGTTGATTCTTGAAGGCTGGTGAACTCCTGCATCTCAGTTAATGAGAATGCTCCTTAGCTCTGCTCACACTATAGAAATCACAGGGCATTTCATTCTTGAATTTTGGCTAAAATATATTGCAACACTTCATTTGCCAACTTTTTAAAAATTAATGATTGAAAGCTATCAATTTTCAATATAGTTTTTCAATAAAATGTATTTCAAGGAGACAAAAAAGGATAGCAGGACACTTTTAAGATAGCATAAAATGTGATATGCTCTGGCCATTGTCATTGTGACTTCTAGAAGCAAAATGTTTCGATGGGAAAGAGTAAGGATACTATATCTACACACTGCAACTTGAGGATATTTTGCAGAGTTTTGGCACAGTAGATTCTTTTCCTTTACTATATGAGCACTGTTACTGATTAAAACTCATCTCTTTGCCTTTTCAATTCAATCAATGTTTTCAGTATTTAATTCTTTATGTTAGACTTTGAAAGTGAAGAATATTCTTCTGTCTTTTCAACCTAAGACGGTAGAACAAAATTTGTGCTTCCATACTAATATCAAAAACTTAAGTAAATAGTATATAATATATAAACGAATAAGGACATTACGCTCTTGTCTTATTCTTTTTAAATAACATGGATGTGTTTGCATGTGTGCATGTTGACATATGCAAATTTGTATGCTTACAGTGTCCACAAGAGCCAGGTCTTTCAGATACAATGGAACTGGGTGACTGTATGGGTGCAGGGAACTATTTCAGAACCTCTGAAATAGTCGTGTACACTCATATTAACTATAGAATCCTATTTCCAGGTGAGATTCTGTTCACCTGACATGTACAATTGGACATATAGACAGATGTGACTAAATATCATTTTAGAAGATAAACACGTGTAAATAGTGTTCTGCCTGATAACTGGGCACTTATTTATAGTGGCTCCAAATATTTAAATCGACATGAAATGTGTGAACAATAACCTGGGTCTCTTCAGAATTCATCACTCAAAGACTGTGTGAAAAGCTTCTGTCCTTTAGATTCAACCTGAATATTAATCAAATCTAGGCATGGTTCAAAATACATCTGATTATAGAGTATTGAAATCCCATTTATTTTATCTAGAGTTAACAGATTTAGCATACTTCCAGCTCCCAGAAGTTGAGGATTTTATGTTTGTTTGTTTTAGAATTAAGTCTAATGAACAGTTAGTTCCTAAAATGCCTTTATTTGAGCATAGAGAGGGTAAATAAATAACAGCACCAACTACTTTTCATGTTAGCTGTGATATGTTGCCACTTTGAGTTGTGGAATAAGATTCCATTTTTGAAGCTGCCCTTATTGTGATGGTTTGTAATAGATGCTGTGATTAGAAGTTATTTTTTTCTGGAATTTTAATCATTTACCTTGCTTCTTACAATGTCACACTGGAAAAAAACAATTAAAATATCAGGGTCACAACTTAAAACCTTGTAATTAATTAAATGCTTCAAATGCAAAATCAAATCAAGTCAAAACAAATCAGTCAAGCAATGCATTTTATTTTTAAGACTATAAAATAACTACTGTGAAAACCTTACATAAAAAAAATGAACAAACATCTACTGGCCAAACTACGTTAATTTTTAAGTAAACATTTCGATTGTTTAAGAATTGCATACATTGATGTAATTCCTTCCTTTCAGACTCCTTTATTTTTCCCAGATTTTTTTTTTCCTTGTTAAATAGTCAGGGTGTTAAGGTCAAGAGTTTTCATGGCTTCACATGACTGTCATTATTTTTCTAATAACAAAATGTATAAGCTTATAATTTATCCTAAAATCATAATTTTTAGTAAATTGTATTAGCTCTCCACAGAAACAGATTTACTTATCTTTTTATTTATTTGTCTTTTGTTTATTTGTTTATGTACTTATTTGTCTTTTTGAGACAGGGTTTCTCTGTGTAGCTTTGGAGCCTGTCCTGGAACTGCCCCACCCACTTTTAGGGAGGGGCTTGAATACAGGAAATACAATGGCTGTTATGACATAGAGACTAAGATGTTATTTGATCCTTGCTTTAGAAATATTGTCCTTACTTTAAAAATCCACTTTTTAAGTTTTATTAGAACTTCACTATTTGTATCATTTTGACTGTTGAAGTGAGTAAGGAGACTGTCATGTGTCATATATTTGAATACAGTAGAACATATACACAAACGTGTGAATACATGAGTAAATCTGAGTCAGGTGTGGGAATTGGATGTTATAATGTAGATCCTAGTTATAATGTAGTACCTTCATAAGAATAATGCTGCCCTTGGAAGAAGCTGCATAAAGGGCACATGGGATCTACATATTATTTTATGCTAATTTGTGTGAATTAATAGTTTTCACAAAATACTAAATCATAAAGCATTGAAAAATACTAGAAAATAGTCAATATGTAATGAAGGTATAAGTTGCACTATTGATTACCTGTTTGATTTTGAGTTATTCCTTTTTGTTTTATACAATGAGTTTACCAGGAACATGTTAAGCATTTGAATTTAATTTATCAAAATATATTTATGTAGCATAACCATATGAGCTGGTTGATTGATTTAGATTGTACTTAGAATGTGGGTTAATACCTGTATCTTATTAAATATTTTGTATAATGTTACCTGTGTCTCACTTATTATTTATTATTAAATATTGAAATGTCACTGTAGCTATCATAGAATTTACTAAATGAAATGCAATAATAATTTTACCAAAAATTTTCTTTAGTGATAAGTGATTTGTGGAGCTATAGGTACCATATCTCATGAACACATTTATTTTCTAATTTAGGTCATCTACATTCATTCCATCACGAAATATTGGCTTTGGTTGTTTATATGGTAGAGCATTTGTTGATTGGCGTCATCTACTTTGCAGCAATGTTCAACACAAGCTAAAATGTTATATTTTTACCCAATTCCTTTCTATTTGTTTTTGTACGACGAGACTCTTGCCTGAAAGTAATTTTTCTTCTAAGGGATTTCTAAAGTACATCGATTCACTCTAGCACTACAAGGACCATTTCCTGACTCTGGGTCAGTCTGTCACACAAGGTGGAATTTACTTGCTCAGAATGTAGAAGTTAGCTAGAATGCGAAAACCAGGATACAAACTATGCCAAAACAAAGAGGGAATTAAACCTTTTATGAAAAAGTCGATTGAACAGAGGCCTTTTTGCCAATACTGTGCTGGGTATCGAACCACCATAAAGGCAAACATTCTATGAACTTAAGTGTACATCACAAACAGTAAGTTCTTGGAGATCTGTTCGTTAACTTTATCAGCTCAGTACACTAAAATATTGTTGAAGAGAAAGAAATACACACTAATATGACTTTCACAATAGTGTTTTCATAAGTTTTACTTTATCATCATTTAATCCAAGTACAATACTGAACTTTATTTATAAGTTATTTTTCATAGATATGTATTATAGAAAAATAAGAAATACGCTACTAATTGTAGGCAAAGGCTGCTGTTTCATTTCCTGGCTGCTCAGACCTGAATAATCACACAGAAACTATATTAATTACAACACTGATTGGCCAATGACTCAGATATATTTCTAGCTATCTCTTACATCTTGAATTAACCCATTTCTATTAATCTGTGTATCACCACAAGGCTGTGGCTTACTGAGTAAGGTTCTGGCTGGTGTCTATCTCCTTCAGCAGCTACAGGGCATCTCCTTGGCTCTACCTACTTTCTCTCTATAGCTCTGTTTGCATTTCCCACCTGGCTTTACTCTGCTAAACCATTAGCCAAAACAGCTTTATTCATCAACCAATAAAAGCAACACACATACAGAAGGACATCCAACACCAACAAATGACAGTTTTAGTCAGTTATTGTGGTTCTTGGAGTTCATGTCTTATGGTTAAAGACTGAGGGTCACTGAAGACCAAAGGTGATTTCTGCATCTCTACATTGTGTTATATTTTATGATATCATTCCCCAATGCTGTCATTCATTTAATATCTGTTCTTAGTAAAAATAACTTTAAATGTGTATCAATAAATCAAAATCCAAACAATGTAAGATATTTTGAGATTAATAGTTGCTTTATGGATTAAAGTGGATTCAATAATCTACCTCTTTATCCTCTCCTTTCTATATCTCCCCCTTTTTCTTATCAGAATAAGATTCCTCAAACTAATCTCCATTGTTCAGCTTTTTTTTTTCTGACCATTACCAACTATACCTTGTAAC